CTCAAATACCCCGACATTCAGGAGCACGTTCAGCAGGAGATTGACACAGTGATTGGCCGACAGCGCGTCCCTCAGATGGAGGAAACACCGTTCAACTGACAACCGATGTCAGCCTACAGGCGCCCGGCCCGCCACAAGGAGTCGCTAGAGCGCGATGAGCCAAGTAAAGCCCCCCCGGCCAAACCCTCCCCTAACCTGGACGACGCTGGGCCAATTGTGTGCTTCCCTATGGGACTCCCAGTCACTCCCAGTGTGACGCTGCAACACTGCGATGCAGTGCCTTAGATCGCTGTGCCACTCGGGAGGCCATCCTTGGAGTTTTTTCTGGTCAGTACAGGTGGATCAGGAGAAACTCAGGGCCCTGGGAGTGAGGAGTGGGGAGGAAGTATACTGGTTGGACCAGACAGTAATGTAATGTATGCTGAGGATTCAGGCCAGTGTAATTTGATGAGAGGCCAATTTGTCAGGCCGGCTGTCAGTCAGGGGGTCAAGGTACCAGTGTATCTTTTACTTTATCAGTTTCTTTGTGTCTCAGCAACTAAGTCAATGTGTATGAGGCAGCAATGCCACACAAAAATATGATGGCTCTTAGATGGCAATCACCTCACACTCTCCCAATTCGCCAGTGAATTCAGTTTCTATTAGAAGTTATAACATTAGACTTATCGGGAATGAATGATGCTAGTCAATAGTGCTGAGCAATTAGTGCTTTTTGAGGTCAGTTAGGTTTCGGTTCCATTATTACAAAATATATAACGGTTTTCATTACTTTTTTTTTTACATTAAATGCACTGTGCATTATGTGGGTTGAATGCTGTAACAACAAAGAATAAAACAATGAATAAAAGTCCCATAATGGTAGTGACTGCCCATTACTGCTGATCACTTATTAAACATCATTTATTCACATTACTTTCCTTTAATAAAATATTTGTTTTATTTGATTACTTTATTATTTCATTCCAAGTCATCATCTCATCTCTATAGAACTGCTGCCTATGCTGTCTGACAAAATCACTATTTTGTAGTTCTTCAAAGTAAATAAGGTTTACTTTTATGACTGCCGAATAGCAATGATCAATCACTTAGATCATGTATTTTCAGGTAACGATACAGTATATATATCAAGTTGACTGGATGTCCTTTGGGTGGTGGACCATTCTTGATACACACGGGAAACTGTTGAGCGTGAAAAATCCAGCAGCTTTGCAGTTCTTGACACAAACCGGTGCGCCGGGCACCTATTATCATACCCCCTTCAAAGGCACTTAAATATTTTGTCTTGCCTAGGGCTGTGGCAGTCATGACATTTTGTCAGCAGGTTATTGTCATGCAAAAGTCTGCCGGTCTCACAGTAATTTACAATTAATTAACATAAACAAGTTTAGCATCTCCAGGCCTCCACACATACAAGCCGCTGATGTGTGCCTTTGGAACATCGACATTTAAAAAGTCAACTAAATCAATTTAGTATACACCATCACAATAAATCCATTATTTATTTTTGTCAGGTCTAAAGAAACATTATGATCTTAGAAAAAAGTATTTTAGAACAACAGAATATGAGTTGGCCTACTGTATGTTATCTGACTATGTCATTTACATTTACATTTACATTTACGTCATTTAGCAGACGCTCTTATCCAGAGCGACTTACATGAGCAATTAGGGTTAAGTGCCTTGCTCAAGGGCACATTGGCAGATTTTTCACCTAGTCGGCTCGGGGATGACTTCATGACTTCCTCCGAAGCTGCCACCTCTCCTTGTTCGGGTAGGCTTCGGGCGTTCGCCATCACCGGCCTTCTAGCCACTGCCACTCCTCATCTCATCATTCCATTTGTTTTGTCTTGTTTATTACACTCACCTGGTTCATATCCCCTCATCAGTACCTGTATAAGTGTTCCCTCTGCCCCCTTGTCATTGTGTGTGATTCTTTATTGTGGAGGATAGTGAAGCTCGGTGGAGCTCCTTGTAATTTGATTCGCCGGGATATTTCCCTGTGTGCCTTGTATTTCCAGTGCGCCTGTTTTGCGCACTGGAGGGTTTTTGACGCATGACTGCGTAACTCTGTGGTTGCGGAATAACGCCTGTTATTCTGTGATTTACCCTCCTGCGCCTGACTCCTTTGACATCACCTCATCCCACCATGCCATAGGCTGTAGGCTTGTTCATTTAGCTGTACATACAAGCCGCTGATGTGTGCCTTTGGAACATCTACATTTAAAAAGTCTAATAAATCAATTTAAAATACACCATCACAATAAATTCATTATCTATTTTTGTCAGGTCTAAATAAACATTATGATCTGAGTAAAAAGTATTTTAGAAGAACAGAATATGAGTTATGCTTAAAATGCTTTAAGATATGCTTAAAAGTCCCATGCCATTATTTTATATTATATGATTTTATAGTAAGAAGAATATAATTGAACTGAGCTGAATAAAATAGAATGGATATTTCTTCCATTCTAGAAATCAAAACATATATGGGCTGCATGATGCGATTATAGGCTATTGATGATTTGAGAAAGTCGGCAAAAAAAGCTTGCGCTCCATTCCTTACCTCAGGCTGCACAGCTGTTCTCTCATCAAGTGTTCATATTTTCACTCATCAGACAATCTTCAATGTAATGTTGTCTTTACTAATATGTCAAATTAGTTTGGATTTAGAATGGTCCATTATCAAATGGCAGGAACAGGGACAGGGGAAAAAAGACGTCATCCATATGCACTGAAATAGCGAATGGAAGACGTGCGCTCGAGCCGGTCAGTCTTTCAATGATGCTGGATAGGCTACTTCAGTTTTATAGCGGAGCTGTGCTTAATATGAGCAGCTGAGAGATAAATATAAGAACACTTATTTCACTCCACGCATCAACTAGTGTTTGAGGAGCATGCAGCCTCTCGCTGCGCTACAGTTAATATTCTGCCCAAACGCAAGCACGCTGACTGCGGTCGCCAGTTGTACGGTGTTTCCTCCGACACATTGGTGCGGCTGGCTTCCGGGTTAAGCGAGCAGTGTGTCAAGAAGCAGTGTGGCTTGGCAGGGTCGTGTTTCGGAGGATGCATGGCTCTCGACCTTCGCCTCTCCCGAGTCCGTACAGGAGTTGCAGCGATGGGACAAGACTGTAACTACCAATTGGATATCATGAAATTGGGGAGAAAAAGGGGTAAAATAAATAAAATAAGGCCATGCATATAAAATAAATAATTGTCCTCCCTCATCTTAAACGGCACCGACCGCCACTGGAACCAAAGTATTGGTCAGTGTTTCCCAGGGGACCCTAATTACATTTGATAGATTATGTTATATTTAGACAAAGATGTTAGAATATAGGCTCTCTGATTCAGAACATACCGTTGCACAAACAACATCCTGACCTACAGCACCACCACTGCTAGCTAGTAGCAATCTGTATTAGAGTTCATGTTTGCTTTGCCCTAGCTCAGTGCATTAGCAAAATGGCTTTAGCTATTCAGCTAGTTAGCGATTAGCATTAATTTAGGCATATGCCATCTTCCTAAGACCAACTAACTAGCGTTTTGCAGAGAGCAAGACACACAAACTAATACTACTGAACAGAAAACATGTCGATTCATATTAAGAAGCAACGTTCTTGTTTTGGAAGAATCTGTTGAGTGCATTGATAGCATGCTGAGAGAATATAAACAGTGAGGAAGCACAGAGTTTCTAAACCCAGTGGCCCAACTACTGGGAACGCTTTGCAATGCAGACTCGATAAACCAGGCCGGGGTTTTCAGGTTTGGCAAGTCAATGGGAGAAGTGAAAAATGTGTCCTTAGTTGTTAATTTTTTCGAAATCTAAAGGCAAAACCTAAATTGACAAACTGACCCGTTTTCATTTTCATCAAAAACAATTGTATATCGAAGGATTGCCTTTGATTTGACGGCCTGCACATGCGAAGTTCGGCGCGACACGACCATTAGACCTGATGACATGTTTCTGCACATGAGCTAAGCTAGATAATGTCGCTATGACATCACCTACAGGCGTGATCTGGGTTTTCTATTGGAGAAGCAGTTTCTAGGCATTTTTATTTAAATTCTCTTTGGAGGAACTGTGCTGCCTGCTTGAGTGACAGGGGTTGGGGTTTGGTGTGCTGGAAGCAAGCAGCCGTGGGAGGGAGAGGCAGGCATTTTTGGTGGTGCACGATGGGGGAGAGAGAGTGTGAGAGGCTTGCTCATGCCAGCAGCTGGGCACAGCGGCAGGGCCAACACTTTTATTATAGGAGTCATGAGGATAATGCACTGTTTGACAAATTCATGGTTTTATTCACCCCAAAAATAGGACGTTTTGATTGAGGTGACCAGGTAGAATGTGTAAATCGCACCAGCGCAACTAATAACTCGTACAGCCAAGTCAAAGGGTCGCAAAATGTGACTAAATGGTTGCAGTCTGGAGCCCTGTAAGGGCAGACGCAGAAACAAGAAACAGAGAGGATGAAGAGAGAGCCTGAACATTCCACCGGAACAGTTTCCAACAAGACTGTGAGGTTTGGGCAGAACTGGGCTCCTGAGTGGCGCAGTGGTCTAAGGCACTGCATCGCAGTGCTAACTGTGCCACTAGAGATCCTGGTTCGAATCCAGGCTCTGTCGCAGCCGGCCGCGACCGGGAGACTCATGGGCGGCGCACAATTGGCCCAGCGTCGTCCAGAGTAGGGGAGGGAATGGCTGGCAGGGATGTAGCTCAGTTGATAGAGCATGGCGTTTGCAACGCCAGGGTTGTAGGTTCAATTCCCACGGGGGGCCAGTATAAAAAAAAATATGTATTCACTAACTGTAAGTCGCTCTGGATAAGAGCGTCTGCTAAATGACTAAAATGTAAAAAAAAATGTAAATGTCTATTCTCTGGGGTAAGACTACGAGGAGCAGCCAGCCAGGTAATGACACTGATTCAATCCGAACAATGGCATCTCCCTGTTTGCAGAGGCATATGTTTCCCCCAGGATTGGGAAAGGGAGCAAAGCAGGTTTTCTTACCTTCACAGAGTCCAGCAAACTCTTGGGGAAGAATCTTCGTAAACCCACATCTTTTCTGCAGAGGACAGAGCAGAAAGGGGTCTGAATTACAGAATTGATCAACAAGAATATGTGCTCATTACAACAAACGAGGTCAGCAGCAGGTGAAATTGAATGAAACATCTATAACCAGAGTAGAGATTTTTTAATTTATATCAATTTAAATTGTTTTTTTCCTAGCCATTTTTATTGTCACTGACTCGGTATCAAGCCTGGCATCTGAAAACACTACTTCTAAAATTCATTTTATAAATGGAGAATTATTTAAAAAGAGATTGTCTTTAAAACAGCATAATTCCCTCTTAAACCACCACTCTGTTTTCAGTTCGCTCCAGATAGAGCACCTGTCAGCTGGTAGATGGCAACAGGACTGAGGCCATTTCCATAGCTAGTCACTGTGTAGTCAACCCAACACACTCACCACCCCTCCATAGCCCTATCATTTGGTTAAGAGCCAGCCAGCGGTCTCTCTCTGTATAGGCCAAATACACAGTCTGGCCTAGATATATAGCATCACCATTCATACAGGCAGTTTGGCTGACTGTTTTCTGAGTGTGGTGGAGTGGTGTTGTTCTGGCTCTGCAACACACAGTCAGTCAGAAAATACATACTAACGCAAATATGTCCAGAACAAACAAATCGTTTGCTTTGTGAACAAATGGCACACTATTCCCTATACTGCATTACTTTTGAGTAGTGAGTTAAAAGTAGTGCACTATGTAGGGAATAGTGTGCCATTTGGGATGTAGCCATAGCCTACACGCTGTTGCTGATAGGGTAAATCTTCAGATTGCATCTATTTGTTGTGAATAAGCCACAGCCAGGATTCTGTGGTAACCGGTGGTTACAGTGTGAAGCTGCTCAGTGGAACTGACAGCATTTTAACTACTTTGCAGATACGAAACAAACAGAAAATCATAATATCAGTAAAAAATATCAAATTCCCAGTTTATGCTACAAAACCAACTTTTTAAGAGGTTTTAAAAATAGGTTCTATTTGACTCAACATTCCATGATGTACACCAGGGGTGTCAAACGTCCGGCCCGCGGGCCGGATCAGGCCCGCAAACGGGTTTAATCCGGCCCGCGAGATGATTTTGTAAAGTATAAAAATGAGCTGCAATTTTTCAATAAAAGAAACTGCTGTTCCAATTGTGTCCACTGGATGGCGCAATAGCAATTGTGTTAAGCAAGCAAACTGTTTATACCGGGGCAGAGCAAATAGGTCAAGCAAGTGCAGCCAGTCCGGATGAGCTACTTTGTTTTGCCCGCGATATTTATTACGGCTTCTACTTTTAACATTATGTACTTTGGCACCCTCATTGCCCCAATATGTCTCTGTCAAAAAAGAGAAAAGTGGACGCAGAGTGCAGAGTGTTCCAAGAAAAATTGTCATCCTTCTATTTATTCACGGAATTGAATGGGAAAGCTGTATGTTTGGTGTGTTCACAGCATGTTGCAGTGCTGAAAGAATATAACCTTCGTCGCCACTATGTGTGTCTTCATGCCGACAAATATGACAACTTTCAAGGACAGCGGAGAAGAGAGAAGGTGAATGAACTGTTGGCGGGTCTGAAGAAACAGCAGTCTGTGTTTACTCACAGCCGAGACATCAGTGACGCTGCAGTGAAAGCTAGCTACCTCATTGCTAATGAAATCGCAGTGGCTTCAAAACCATTTAGTGAGGGTGAATTTGTAAAAACATGCATGTTGAAGGCAGCGGAGATTGTGTGCCCTGAAAAGCACCAGGCTTTTGCAAATATCAGCCTGACAAGAAACACAGTTGCAGACAGGATTTCCGATCTTTCAGTGGATTTGGACAGCCAGTTGAAGCAAAAAGTTAAGTAATTTATTGCGTTTTCGGTTGCAATTGATGAAAGCACGGACATTACAGATGTTGCACAACTGGCCATTTTCATCCGCAGAGTTGATGACACATTGAACTGACAGACGTTATCAGGCAGCCACCTTCCCAGAGTTTGAAAGGCTTTGGTAATGTAAACACATGTTTCCCATGCCAATAAAGCCCTTTGAATTAAATTGAAAGGGCTATAAAATAGTGGGTGTCCTGTTTTGTTCACAGTATCACAGTGTCATCACTGGGGTCTGGGGACATTATAATGACGCTGTAGGAGATGACTGAGAATGAGGATAAATTACTCTAACACTATAAATAGATCAGACACATTTCAACAGAGACTACGTCCCAAATGGCACCCTATTTCCTATATAGTGCACTACTTTTGACCAGAGATATAGGGAATAGGGGGCCATTTGCAACGCGGGCAGAGTGAGAGGTTCAAGAGGAAGACAGTAAATTTACACTGGCCTACATACGTCTAGTTAGGAGAGAGGACACACACGGCTCATAGAGGTGAACTATAGGATTTATGTGCACAGACAGTGTTAAGATGTGTATGTTGTTAATACAGAAATACATCATCTATAAAGGTCCAATGCAGCCATTTTTTAAAATCTCAATATAGAATAATTTCTATGTAACAATTAAGTACTGGAATTGTTTTAAACTAAAATGGTCAAAAAGAAACAAAAATAGCTTCTTAGCAAAGAGCAATTTCTCAAGCAAGAATGTTGTTGACTGTCTGGGAGTGGTTTGAGTGGGAAGGGGAAAGCTGAAAACGATCTGTTATTGGCAGAGGTTTGGAACTCTCTTTCTTATTGGTCTATTAACTAATTTACCGCCTAGTGATGTCAAAGGTTTGGACACACCTACTCATTCAAGGGTTTTTCTTTATTTATAATATTTTTTACATTGTAGAATAATAGTGAAGACATCAAAACTATTAAATAACACATATGGAATCATGAAGTAACCAAAATATTGTTAAACAAATCAAAATATATTTTATATTTGAGATTCTTCAAATAGCCACCATTTTCCTTGATGACAGCTTTGCACACTCTTGGCATTCTCTCAACCAGCTTCATGAGGTAGTCACCTGGAATGCATTTCAATTAACAGATGTTCCTTCTTAAAAGTTAATTTGTGGAATTTCTTTCCTTTTTAACGCATTTGAGCCAATCAGTTGTGTTGTGACAAGGTGTGGGGGGGGGGGGGGGGGGGTATACAGAAGATAGCCCTATTTGGTAAAAGACCAAGACCATGTCCAAGAAAAGCTCAAATAAGCAAAGGGAAACGACAGTCCATCATTACTTTAACACATGAAGGTCAGTCAATACGGAAAAAAATACAGTCGCAAAAACCATCAAGCGCTATGATGAAACTGGCTCTCATAAGGAACACCACAGGAATGGAAGACCCAGAGTTACCTCTGCTGCAGAGGATAAGTTCATTAGAGTTACCAGCCTCAGAAACTGCAGCCCAAATAAATGCTTCACAGAGTTCAAGTCACAGACACATCTCAACATCAACTGTTCAGAGGGGACTGTGTGAATCAGGCCTTCATGGTCAAATTGCTGCAAAGAAACCACTACTAAAGGACATCATAAGAAGAAGAGACCTGCTTGGGACAAGAAACACAAGCAATGGACATTAGACCGGTGGAAATGTGTCCTTTGGTCTAGAGTCCAAATTTGAGATTTTTGGTTCCAACCACTGTGTCTTTGTGAGACGTGGTGTGGGTGAACGGATTATCTCCGCATGTGTAGTTCCCACTGTAAAGCATGGAGGAGGAGGTGATATGGTGTGGGGGTACTTTGCTGGTGACACTGTCTGTGATTTATTTAGAATTAAAGTCACACTTAACCAGCATGGCTACCACAGCATTCTGCAGCAATATGCCATCCCATCTGGTTTGGGCTTAGTGGGACTATCATTTGTTTTTCAACAGGACAATTTTTATTTTATTTATTTCACCTTTATTTAACTAGGTAAGCCAGTTGAGAACAGGTTCTCATTTACAACTGCGACCTGGCCAAGATAAAGCAAAGCAGTGCGATAAAAAACAACAACACATAGTTACATATGGGGTAAAACAAAACATAAAGTCAAAAATACAACAGAAAATAGAAAATATATATACAGTGTGTGCAAATGTAGCAAGTTATGGAGGTAAGGCAATAAATACGCCATAGTGCAAAATATTACAATTAGTATTAACACCGGAATGATAGGTGTGCAAGAGATGATGTGCAAATAGAGATACTGCGGTGCAAATGAGCAAAATAAATAACAATATGGTGATGAGGTAGTTGGGTGGGCTAATTTCAGATGGGCTGTGTACAGGTGCAGTGATCATTATCGGTAAGGTGCTCTGACAACTGATGCTTAAAGTTAGTGAGGGAGATAAGAGTCTCCAGCTTCAGCGATTTTTGCAGTTCGTTCCAGTCATTGGCAGCAGAGAACTGGAAGGAATGGCGGCCAAAGGAGGTGTTGGCTTTGGGGATGACCAGTGAGATATACCTGCTGGAGCATATACTACGGGTGGGTGTTGCTATGGTGACCAATGAGCTAAGATAAGGCGGGGATTTGCCTAGCAGTGATTTATAGATCAAATCAAATCACATTTTATTGGCCACATGCGCCGAATACAACAGGTGCAGACATTACAGAGAAATGCTTACTTACAGCCCTTAACCAACAGTGCATTTATTTTTAATAAACAATTTAGAGGGCCTTCCACTGACACCGCCTGGTATAGAGGTCCTGGATGGCAGGAAGCTTGGCCCCAGTGATGTACTGGGCCGTACGCACTACCCTCTGTAGTGCCTTGCGGTCGGAGGCCAAGCAGTTGCCATACCAGGCGGTGATGCAACCAGTCAGGATGCTCTCGATGGTGCAGCTGTAGAGTTTTTTGTGGATATGAGGACCCATGCCAAATCTTTTCAGTCTCCTGAGGGGGAATAGGCTTTGTCGTGCCCTCTTCACGACTGTCTTGGTGTGTTTGGACCATGATAGTTCGTTGGTGATGTGGACACCAAGGAACTTGAAGCTCTCAACCTGTTCCACTACAGCCCCGTCGATGAGAATGGGGGCGTGCTCAGTCCTCTTTTTTTTTCCTGTAGTCCACAATCATCTCCTTTGTCTTCGTCACGTTGAGGGAGAGGTTGTTATCCTGGCACCACACGGCCAGGTCTCTGACCTCCTCCCTATAGGCTGTCTCATCGTTGTCGGTGATCAGGCCTACCACTGTTGTGTCGTCGGCAAACTTAATGATGGTGTTGGAGTCGTGTCTGGCCATGCAGTCATGGGTGAACAGGGAGTACAGGAGGGGACTGAGCACGCACCCCTGAGGGGCCCCCGTGTTGAGGATCAGTGTGGCAGATGTGTTGTTACCTACCCTTAACACCTGGTGGCGGCCCGTCAGGAAGTCCAGGATCCAGTTGCAGAGGGAGGTGTTTAGTCCCAGGATCCCTAGCTTAGTGATGAGCTTTGAGGGCACTATGGAGTTGAATGCTGAGCTGTAGTCAATGAATAGCATTCTCACGTAGGTGTTCCTCTTGTCCAGGTGGGAAAGGGCAGTGTGGAGTGCAATAGAGATTGCATCATCTGTTGGGGCGGTATGCAAATTGGAGTGGGTCTAGGGTTTCTGGTCTAGTTTTAGCTTATAAGCAGGAATCAGGAGGATAGAGTTATGGTCAGATTTGCCAAATGGAGGGCGAGGGAGAGCTTTGTATGCGTCTCTGTGTTTGGAGTAAAGGTGGTCTAGAGTTTTTTTTTACTCTGGTTGCACATTTAACATGCTGGTAGAAATTAGGTAGAACGGATTTAAGTTTCCCTGCATTAAAGTCCCCGGCCACTAGGAGCGCTGCCTCTGGATGAGCGTTTTCCTGTTGACTGATGGCCTTATACAGCTCATTCAGTGCAATCTTAATGCCAGCATTGGTTTGTGGTGGTAAATAGACAGCTATGAAAAATATAGATGAAAACTATCTTGGTAAATAGTGTGGTCTACAGCTTATCATAAGATACTCTACCTAAGGCAAGCAAAACCTTGAGACTTCCTTAGTATTTGATTTTGTGCACCAGCTGTTGTTTACAAATATACACAGACCGCCACCCCTTGTCTTACCGGAGTCAGCCGTTCTATCCTGCCGATGTAGCATATAGCCCGCTAGCTGTATGTTGTCCATGTCGTCGTTCAGCCACGACTCGGTGAAACATAAGATATTAAAGTTTTTAATGTCCCGTTTGTAGGATAACTGTAATCTTAGGTCATCCAATTTATTCTCAAATGATTGAAGATTGGCTAATAGGATTGATGGGAGAGGCAGTTTACTCGCTCGCCGTCGGATCCTTACAAGGCACCCCGACCTACGTCCACGATATCTCTGTCTCTTCCTCATGCGAATGACGGGGATTTGGGCCTTGTCGGGTGTCTGTAGGATATCCTTCGCGGCCGCCTCTTTGAAGAAAAAATCTTCGTCCAATACGAGGTGAGTAATCGCTGTCCTGATATCCAGAAGCTCTTTTTGGTTATAAGAGACGATGGCAGAAACATTATGTACAAAATAAATTACAAATAACGTGGAAAAACACACATAATAGTACAATTGATTAGAGGGCTGTAAAACAGCAGCCATCTTCTCCGGCGCCATTCTCCTAATGGCCTGGAGCCAGTGGGTTTGGCGACGAATATGTAGTGATGACCAGCCAACAAGAGCGTACAGGTCACAGTGGTGGGTAGTATATGGGGCTTTGGTGACAAAACGGATGGCACTGTGATAGACTACATCCAATTTGCTGAGTAGAATGTTGGAGGCTATTTTGTAAATGACATCGCCGAAGTCAAGGATCGGTAGGATAGTCAGTTTTACGAGGGCATGTTTGGCAGCATGAGTGAAGGAGGCTTTGTTGCGAAATAGGAAGGCGATTCTGGATTTAACTTTGGATTGGAGATGCTTAATGTGAGTCTGGAAGGTGAATTTACAGTCTAACCAGACACCTAGGTATTTGTAGTTGTCCACATACTCTAGGTCAGACCCGTCGAGAGTAGTGATTATAGTCGGGTGGGCGGGTGCCAGCAGCGTTCGATTGAAGAGCATGCATTTAGTTTTACATGTGTTTAAGAGCAGTTGGAGGCTACGGAAGGAGTGTTGTATGGCATTGAAGCTTGTTTGGAGGTTTGTTAACACAGTGTCCAATGAAGGGCCAGATGTATACAAAATGGTGTCGTCTGCGTAGAGGTGGATCTGAGAATCACCAGCAGCAAGAGCGACATAATTGATATACACAGAGAAAAGAGTTGGCCCAAGAATTGAACCCTGTGGCACCCCCATAGAGACTGCCAAAGGTCCAGACAACAGGCCCTCCGATTTGACACATTGAACTCTATCTGAGAAGTAGTTGGTGAACCAGCCATCCCCAGGCTGTGTAAGGGCTATTTTACCAAGAAGGAGAGTGATGGAGTGCTGCATCAGATGACCTGGCCTTCACAATCCCCCGACCTCAACCCAATTGAGATGGTTTGAGATGAGTCAGACGGCAGAGTGAAGGAAAAGCAACCAACAAGTGCTAAGCATATGTGGGAACTCCTTAAAACCTGTTGGAAAAGCATTCCAGGTGAAGCTGGTTGAGAGAATGTCAAGAGTGTGCAAAGTTGTCATCAAGGCAAAGGGTGGCTATTTGAATAATCTCAAATATAAAATATATTTTGATTTCTTTAACACTTTTTTTGGTTACTACTTGATTCCATATGTGTTATTTAATTGTTCTGAAGTTTTCACTATTATTCTACAATGTAGAAAATAGTAAAAATAAAGAAAAACCCTTGAATGAGTAGGTGTGTCCAACCTTTTGACTGGTACTGTATATAAAACACAGGAAAATCTAGTTTTTGACTGCACTGGGCCTTTAAGTAAAATAATCACTTACTCTAATAATTCATAATTCGATTTCTTATCCAGGGCATTCCCTCGCATTTCCCTAAAAAATCTCCTGTAACAGAAAACAAAATATAGAAAAGAAATTGTGAGTAGGATATATATATATCTTACATCTTGAGATCAGATTATGGAATATTGGATGTGTACATGAATTCACTGTTTATAACATATCAATAGCCACCAAAAACTCAAGTATTCGAAATAGAACTCACCTGATTTCAAGGCAGCCCAATTTAAGTGCAATGTCTTGGTCAACTTGATCTGCTACCTCCAACATGTAGTCACTCTTGACCTGAGAAACATAATTACAGTCATTCTCCATGACAACATGTAGTCACTCTTGACCTGAGAAACAACATCACAGTCATTCTCCATGACAAAGTGAACTACAAAAGTAGTGACAGGTAAAGTAGTGAGCAATGTGAATCTCCTGTGAGACAGCAACAGCTAGAGAGAAGCAGGTCGTTAGTTACTTGTGGTTGTCCTCAGATGCTTAGCTGGTAGAGCATGGCGCTTGCAACGCCAGGATAGCTGGTTCGATTCCCTGGACCAACCATGCGTAAAGAAGTTATGCATGCATGACTGTAAGTCGCTTTGGATAAAATCGTCTGCTAAATAGCATATATTATTATATTATTAATTAGTTAGTCTGATTGAGCTGCAGCTGATGGGTCCAGCTCACATGGACGTTAATGAGACTACCTCAGTTCTCTAAGAGAGGAAACACCAGAGCTGACCGTGTATTTAACAGCAGCAGGTGGCTGTCCTATGACCTCTGACCAGAATATCAGCCATCGATGTCTATTCATTTCTAGGTGGTTCTATATGTTCAATCGCCGCCGTTCGTAAATACCCAGCAGGTGATGGCTAGCAGACTGTAGCTACACGCTGCTTTCAGCTGTTGGACTTTCTGGTGGGTTTCTTCTCTAAGAACCTCTGGCCAGCAGCCCAGCAGCTATATAACGCACTCTCAGTCACACTGAACCACCCCAGCAGGGCCGTTTCACTGTCACCAGCAGCTATATAACGCACTCTCAGTCACACTGAACCACCCCAGCAGGGCCGTTTCACTGTCACCAGCAGCTATATAACGCACTCTCAGTCACACTGAACCACCCCAGCAGGGCCGTTTCACTGTCACCAGCAGCTATATAACGCACTCTCAGTCACACTGAACCACCCCAGCAGGGCCGTTTCACTGTCACCAGCAGCTATATAACGCACTCTCAGTCACACTGAACCACCCCAGCAGGGCCGTTTCACTGTCACCAGCAGCTATATAACGCACTCTCAGTCACACTGAACCACCCCAGCAGGGCTGTTTCACTGTCACCAGCAGCTATATAACGCACTCTCAGTCACACTGAACCACCCCAGCAGGGCCATTTCACTGTCACCAGCAGCTATATAACGCACTCTCAGTCACACTGAACCACCCCAGCAGGGTTGTCTCTAGCCATACATGCTGTCTCTAGCCATACATGCTGACTCTAGCCATACATGCTGACTCTAGCCATACATGCTGTCTCTAGCCATACATGCTGTCTCTAGCCATACATGCTGTCTCTAGCCATACATGCTGTCTCTAGCCATACATGCTGTCTCTAGCCATACATGCTGACTCTAGCCATACATGCTGTCTCTAGCCATACATACTGACTCTAGCCATACATGCTGACTCTAGCCATACATGCTGTCTCTAGCCATACATGCTGTCTCTAGCCATACATGCTGTCTCTAGCCATACATACTGACTCTAGCCATACATACTGACTCTAGCCATACATGCTGTCTCTAGCCATACATGCTGTCTCTAGCCATACATGCTGTCTCTAGCCATACATACTAATTCAAACACAGGGTAGCCTCTGTGGTTCACCTGGCGGTGATGCCTGGTAGCCTGGTCAAACAGGCTGACTGCTGCGCTTCACCATTGTTAAGTGAAACTATGGTGAGCACAGCAGTCAGACTGGTTTACAATGCTAGATGCCTAGTGCCCACCTACAAACAATGCTAACATGCTTGCTGTGTGATACAATATGAATGTACTTTTCAGCTGCTGGTGAAACTAAGCTCAGTGCTGTCAGTGAGTCTGCTGTCAGTCAGTCTGCTGTCAGTCAGTCTCTCTCTCTAGACCCCTGGTCTCCTCAGATGGAAACACCCATTTATCTTCCCTCTAAACAGCCTGCAGCCATTTACAGTATAGTGATCTGACGTTGCGTCTCACACTGACATCCTCTACCATACAATACTGTATTTCTCTGATAAACAGAGAGAGAAGAACACTACATGGTTTCTGTTCTCACCTGATGGTCCTAACTCAATCTGAATATGGTTTCTGTCCTCACCTGATGGTCCTAACTCAATCTGAATATGGTTTCTGTCCTCACCTGATGGTCCTAACTCAATCTGAATATGGTTTCTGTCCTCACCTGATGGTCCTAACTCAATCTGAATATGGTTTCTATCCTCACCTGATGGTCCTAACTCAATCTGAATATGGTTTCTTCTCTACCTGATGGTCCTAACTCAATCTGAATATGGTTTCTGTCCTCACCTGATGGTCCTAACTCAATCTGAATATGGTTTCTGTCCATACCTGATGGTCCTAACTCAATCTGAATATGGTTTCTATCCATACCTGATGGTCCTAACTCAATCAGAATATGGTTTCTATCCTCACCTGATGGTAGAAGTAGTTCAGTGTAGGTTTGTCTTCTGAAAAATGGTTCAAGAATCCTTTTGGCAAGTAGCGTATTCGTAGCTCATACCTGCGGAGAAAGAAATGCCATATGGTTAGCTTGGTGCTAACGAGGATGAAGGACAACTCAGAAACAAGGTTCCAAGGGAATACATTCACAACAACCTCTGTGTCTTGATTAAACAGTGCTGTGAATGTGTAGGCTGTACGGTACAAGTCAGCACCTTATCATTATTCTGTACTTTCCCAGAGGATCCCTTCATATGGAGCTGATCAAAGAGATTAGTGAGACTGAGGGTGCGTCCCAAATGGCACCCTAATATCTACTGTACATAGTGCACTACGTTTGACAAGAACTTTATGGGCCCTGGTCAAAAGTAGAGCACTATACAGGGAACAGGCATCATCGAGACATCATCATTTTTGAAAGGGAGAGACCTCCATGATCATTCCAGGAATAACTATAACATCCAGCCACAGCTTTCTGTTCAACCTACAAGGTGAAATAAACTACTGAACAGCTTGAAATAGCTGCTTGGTTCAAACTCTGTGCCAAGCCTGTTCTTTCTAATTACAAACTCTTTGACGTAGAGAAAACATTTCCCGGCTCTGTCGTATCAGATCAGATGGTCTTTGAATGTAGTTCTGGTGTTCTATACTCTGCTGTGATCTACACTAGAGAGAGATAATAGGACAGCAGCAAGTGGAATGTACATGACCCAGTACATTGTAATTATATGTGTAAAAGGCAAGTCATTCATTTGATGTCTGTATGAATGGCTTGAGGACAGTGTCGTGGGTATTGAATGAGTATTTTAGTGTCTGCTGGTCTGTCAACACTTCCATTGAACCAGTGTTCTAGAATGTTTCTTCGATGAACATGCTATTGATAGGACTGTGAGATCCAATGTCCAAGACAAGTTTCCCTTCGAGGACAATCAAGTAAATACGCTCCATGGCATGAAAGCATTGAGACGAGGTCAACCCAACCCCCCCCCCCACCCCCCACCCCCACAGATATCCATCTATTATTCATTCTTTCTTTCAACGGTCTTGTACAGCCACTATGGACACCATAAAGGAAATATGGTGCCATTTGGATGCAGACATTGAAATGCTCTAAACAACAGAAATATAACAAATGGACACTGCAATCGGTCTACTTCCTGTGTTCAAGAACTACAGCATCTGAATGGTGTTTTATTTTTGCTACTACTGACGCTACAGGGCTTATTTTATCGCCAGAAGGAATTAAGGCTGACAATAAATGAATAAAGAGACCATTTCAATAATGAATGAGCAGCACAGTCACTGAGAATCCCATGAGCTAACATCAACAGAGGCACTAACAATAGCACACAATCAATTCATATCCTCTGTATTATTTAGCTCCATTACTTCTGCACTGATGCCTGACTGAGAGGAGGTGGGGACAGACAGAATGAGCTTTGCTGTGGTGGTTGTCGTCTACAGTATAATGCATGCATCATCTCACTGTGTTCAATGGTGGGTCCTACCGTCCAATGCAAATACAATGCTGCTTAGGAACAGAACAGGTTGTTCTGAGAGGTAGAACGTCTTGAATCATTGAGTATTCTTAGAACATTCACTTCGAACATTTACATTCCATCTTGATTTGTGACCATCACAGATTGGATTCATATATAATTCAGAGAAGGCCAGGTTGGCCAGGGTTTTAACTGAATCATGAAACGCCTGCTGTCATGTTTGTATTCTTTGGGAACATTGAGATATCTAACTAGGCCTGCTACATTATTCAAATGTATTCTTCCAGCTGGACGCATTTCAGAATTGAAGAGACACGCACACAAGCACACACACACCCACGCATACATATACACACAAGCACACACAGTAAGTTATAATAATGTGACTGAGAAGCAACCTGCTCCAGAGAACAGTAGTATCTGTTAGAGGAAGGCTGGATAAAGTTCTAAGTACGTCCTTTAACTCCCAAACATGTCAACACACTGCTCTGTCTGGCCATGAAGGAAGCAGTGAGGGGGAGTAGTGTCTGAAATATCACCCAAATAAAAGGTTATGTCTAGACATTGCTCTGCTATCTCTGATATGGCATTTCTATCTCCATATCTTCCACTCAGTCATGAGTAGAAGGGAATATATCAGCATTAGGCTCCAACATCAAACACTGAAGTCACATCAACAGATAGTAATTAGAGAGGACTGAACTATCCTCCTCAACACTTTATCAGTTGACTTTGGCAGCGAATCTCTCATTGTATGTCTAATTTCCCTTCCAATAACTGTGATGAGACAGGAGGAAACATGTATCTTAGACTATAAAGGCCTAATTACATTGGAGCGCCATATGGAGGGTTTTCAGTCTGCTTCTGAGGAAGCATGATTTATGCAGGCAGATTGGAAGGATATTCAAGGCCACTCGGCCAAACTAACTGGATAGCAACAATTCGTTTTCGGTTCCCAATTCCTCCATCCGTGGGTTTACATTTGAAAATACAAGGCACACAAAATCCTGATTTCACCCCCGTACTGCATTCATCAAATAACCAAGCGCCTTACAATGACATTGATTGCACACATCTCCATAGTAACAAGGTCTCTTCGTTCCATGACATACTTTAGCCCCTTGGCTTTGCCACTGGACTGAATCCATTAAAACAACCAAATTTGTTCCAATTTTTTCTCTTCCCAAAAACAGGCAGAGGAAATCTTCCATTTTAGCTAGTGAGTACTAGTTAAAGACAATTCAAGCACGTTCAAGCGTTTCAAGTGGCAAGGCTGTAGGAAGGATGTCTTACTCATATAATTGAGTTATGAATTAAAGTTATGTAAAGGTTTTATACGTGCGCTTATAGTGCATTATGACGATGGTATTCATAGGAAGTGTTTGAATATTTATATTAAAGCAGAATTACATGGAACCAATATGCATAAAGGTGGCAGTGCCAAGGCTTTTAAGGTGAAACAGCAGCGTAAATACGGCTTTATAAAGTGTTTCAAAGTCTCTATGTAGCCTGCTCCCAGATCAGTTTGTGCTGCCTTGGCAACGCAACAATGACCATAGGAGTTGGTCAAACAGCACAAACAGAACTGGGACCAGGGACGGATCAGCAGTGTAAATATGGCTTTATACAGTATGTGAATATGTCTCTGTTCTAGTTCTTACCTCCACTCTTCCTGAGGGTGGTGCAGCTCATACCTCTCCCTGACGTGGGACACCCCCATGTCGGGGTGCAGCCAGTGGATGTCACCTGAGCGCAGGTGGCTGAGACGCAGGCCCAGACAGGACACACACTTCACCTTGTGGATGTCTGCTATCTTCTGGATGATACCCTGTCAGGGGACACACGTGTAGACACACACTTAGGCTATTGAGTCACTCTGAAATGAATCTCAGTCAATGTCCATGGACAGACGTGTAGACAGTATACACACTGAGGTTAGAGGAGGAATCACTCAGAGATGAGATTCAATCGACAGTAATTGACAGTAATGAATTGTCCTACATATTGTAATTTGTGATTCAGAGGGCAGGAGATATAGATAAATGAATAGCAGTCATAGTGACATATTGCTAGAGTGACAGACAGCAGTGGGGAGGGCCTTCCTTGGCCCATCCATCCCTGTAGTCCAGGGGTGACATGAGGACTCCAGGGGACCATCTATCCATCCATCCCTGTAGTCCAGGGGTGACATGAGGACTCCAGGGGACCATCTATCCATCCATCCCTGTAGTCCAGGGGTGACATGAGGACTCCAGGGGACCATCTATCCATCCATCCCTGTAGTCCAGGGGTGACATGAGTACTCCAGGGGACCATCTATCCATCCATCCCTGTAGTCCAGGGGTGACATGAGTACTCCAGGGGACCATCTATCCATCCATCCCTGTAGTCCAGGGGTGACATGAGGACTCCAGGGGACCATCTATCCATCCATCCCTGTAGTCCAGGGGTGACATGAGGACTCCAGGGGAACCATCCATCCATCCCTGTAGTCCAGGGGTGACATGAGGACTCCAGGGGACCATCTATCTATGACAGTAGATATAATAGAAAGAACAGTTTGGCAGAGTCACCCTGAATGATAGATCCTTTCTCTCTGAGGCTTCCAGGAAGAGATTGTCATTATGTGCAGAAGCAAGGGAAATGGCGCGGGGTGGAGGGGTTAAATAATCCATCATTGAAATGCCACTGTGGGGTTTATGACACAATCTGAGAAGTGACTCCACCTCTTGGTTAAAATGATTAACGAGAAGACCTCCCTCCATCTCTCTCAGGGATGACATGTTCCATTACATCCCTCAACGTCGTCTGACATCACTACTTCAGGTATTGAAGTTAGAGGCCATTGAACCATAAATTAGACGTAGTCTACTTTGAATTGAAGCTCTTTGTCACTTGACTACAGAGCCAAACGCCTAACAGAAGAGATGTGGTAGCAAAGAAACAGTCCACTTGTTCAATCACCTACTTAACTAGCTATTCTTTTCACCTCCTAAACTCTCTTACAGTCTTGTTTCATCTGAATAGAGGTCATTATTAAACCTAATGGGGATGGAAGACGCTATGTGTAGAAATGTCAACAGGGAACCTCATAAATACCCGGGTTGTGGCCAGTAGGGAGGAAACGTTTTGAAACACTTTAAAATGGTGAGGTAGCCGAGTTACTAACTGAATCTGTCTAATAAGAAAAACTTGTTTTAGTTTTCTGTTGCAAAACATTGTAGCTGCAATGTGCCCTACTGAACATCACCCAGGTGATAGGGGGAGTTCTACAGTGAGATGCCCGAGTCCCAAATTACACCCTATTGCTTATACAGTGAGGGAAAATAGTATTTGATCCCCTGCTGATTTTGTACGTTTGCCCACTGACAAAGACATGATCAGTCTATAGGTAGGCTTATTTGAGCAATGAGAGACAGAATATCAACAAAAAAATCCAGAAAAACGCATGTCAAAAATGTTATAAATTGATTTGCATTTTAATGAGGGAAATAAGTATTTGACCCCTCTGCAAAACATGATTTAGTACTTGGTGGCAAAACCCTTGTTGGCAATCACAGAGGTCAGACATTTCTTGTAGTTGGCCACCAGGTTTGCACACATCTCAGGAGGGATTTTGTCCCACTCCTCTTTGCAGATCTTCTCCAAGTCATTAAGGTTTCGAGCCTGACGTTTGGCAACTCGAACCTTCAGCTCCACAGATTTTCTATGGGATTAAGGTCTGGAGACTGGCTAGGCCACTCTAGGACCTTAATGTGCTTCTTCTTGAGCCACTCCTTTGTTGCCTTGGCCGTGTGTTTTGTGTCATTGTCATGCTGGAATACCCATCCACGACCCATTTTCAATGCCCTGGCTGAGGGAAGGAGGTTCTCACCCAAGATTTGACGGTACATGGCGCCGTCCATCGTCCCTTTGATGCGGTGAAGTTGTCCTGTCACCTTAGCAGAAAAACACCCCCAAAGCATAATGTTTCCACCTCCAAGTTTGACGGTGGGGATGGTGTTCTTGGGGTCATAGTCAGCATTCCTCCTCCTCCAAACACGGCGAATTGAGTTGATGCCAAAGAGCTCCATTTTGGTCTCATCTGACCACAACACCTTTCACCCAGTTCTCCTCTGAATCATTCAGATGTTCATTGGCAAACTTCAGATGGGCCTGTATATGTGCTTTCTTGAGCAGGGGGACCTTGCGGGCGCTGCAGGATTTCAGTCCTTCACGGCGTAGTGTGTTACCAATTGTTTTCTTGGTGACTATGGTCCCAGCTGCCTTGAGATCATTGACAAGATCCTCCCGTGTAGTTATGGGCTGATTCCTCAACGTTCTCATGATCATTGCAACGCCACGAGGTGAGATCTTGCATGGAGCCCCAGGCCGAGGGAGATTGACAGTTCTTTTGTGTTTCATTCCAACTGTTGTCACCTTCTCACCAAGCTGCTTGGCAATGGTCTTGTAGCCCATTCCAGCCTTGTGTAGGTCTACAATCTTGTCCTTGACATCCTTGGAGAGCTCTTTGGTCTTGGCCATGGTGGAGAGTTTGGAATCTGATTGATTGATTGCTTCTGTGGACAGATGTCTTTTATACAGGTAACAAGCTGAGATTAGGAGCACACCCTTTAAGAGTGTGCTCCTAATCTCAGCTCGTTACCTGTATAAAAAACAACTGGGAGACAGAAATCTTTCTGATTGAGAGGGGGTCAAATACTTATTTCCCTCATTAAAATGCTAATCAATTTATAACATTTTTGACATGCGTTTTTCTGGATTTTTTTGTTGTTATTCTGTCTCTCACTGTTCAAATAAACCTACCATTAAAATTATAGACTGATCATTTCTTTGTCAGTGGGCAAATGTACAAAATCAGCAGGGGATCAAATACTTTTTTCCCCTCACTGTATATGGCACATTTCCATACAGGACTTACCCCAGTGTTTTACCCAAAAGGCTCTGACTTTTCTGTTTCCATCTAAACGAGTTGTGCTGCACACTCCCTTAAAAGACCTTCGCTTGAAAAACTAGAAAAAAGCAGCAATAGTACTGTTTGTCCATTTCGAGACGCCGTAGCCAGATCTCGGAACCCAAATTCTTTCATGAACGCTGGCCTCCGGCCTACTGTACGGATGATAGGGAGACTAACTTAAAAAAGCATAGTTGTTGTAACTGTGGTAAACCGCGTTTAACCCAATCAGCTGCTCAGCTCACCCTGACGTCAGTGGCATCTCCATGGCGGATGTGGCTGGCCCAGGTGGACGGTTCACTGTTGCTCTCCAAGTAGTGGTGGATCTTGAGCACGCGGTCCATGGTCCCCGGCTTCACCACCCCACCGCCCAGCCCAGCATGGTGGTTCAGGTTGGGGTCCAGGTACGCTGACGCCATGCCTCCTTTGGTGGGGGCTAGCTGTCTGTCATATTCTGAAGGTAGATAGACAGAGGGGAGGGAGAGAGAGAGAGAGAGAGAGAGAGCACGAGCGAGAGAGAGAGAGAGAGAGAGAGAGAGGAGGGAGGGAGAGGTAGAGAGAGAGGGGAGGGAGGGAGAGGTAGAGAGGGAGGTAGAGAGGGAGGGAGGGAGGAAGGGAGGGAGGGAGGGAGAGAGAAGGCTTCTGGTGAATTCACACTAGACGACTGTGTTACTTTCTCTCACTGTATCAGTAACAAAAGTGGACTGGAGAGAATAGAACAGACAAACGGACGGCTGGACAGACTGACACATAACAGTGAGGCCTGACAGCTGGGTGGCTTTGGAGAGTGAGCAGGGAGCAGCGCTGTCAGAAGCACTGCCAGCACAAAAACAACCCTCCTCATGGACCACAAACTGGGGCCATTATACATAAGAAATGGTCAGGGGTGAAATTTGGTGTGTGTGTGTTTGTGTATGGTAATAGGTACAGCCAAGACAGTACCACTTTGCTTGTTAAAACATGGCTTTTCTAGTGTTTTGGAAAGATTGACCCAAAGCCACTCAGTGACATTCCTCAGCCTTCCTGACTGTATCTGCTGTTGGCAACATCAATAGAATGTCACAGGAAAACCTGCCCTTACTCAACTCTGAAAACACATACATTCTCAGATGTCTACCTCTTCAATGTTACTTTCTGATAATCCAGGCAGAACACATGTATGAAGATGGAGGTAAGTATCCTAACTCTTGACAATCAGTCAGACAACATTGAAGCAATGGAGATTAGTAGAGACACAACTGGTCCATTTGAGCCGACTGGACAACTTCCTTTCAGAGTTGTTCTTTAATAAACTCCTGTGAAACTCAATTCAAACACTACTATTCTGATCTAACACCAGCACAGCAACAACAGTTCAATCAGTCACTCCTCCTACCTTTACTGATGAAGGGCCAGCAGGTACACTCCACTGTAGAGTCCCGTAGTGACAACATCAGTGCAATAGCAACAGCAGACTAGGTTACACAGTACAGTATGTCCACTAGGTTACACAGTACAGTATGTCCACTAGGTTACACAGTACAGTATCGGCAGATCCATGGGATTTCTTTTTGTTTTTTTTCATCCAGGCACAAACACACTTCTTCTTACCCACATCTCTCTCTCTCGCTCTCTGTGAACAACACATTCACGTCTTTCCTGTCCAGTCATGTCACATCCTGGTTATCACAATGCGTCCTGTCCGCTCAGGAGCCACAGTGAGTCATCAACATGTCACTCCTGTCTCCTCACACGGCACAGAGCTCTTCCTGGCTGAGAAGAGGAGAGGCCTGAGCTTTGATCAATATGTCACTCCTGTCTCCTCATGGAAGAGCTCTTCCTGGACTGAAATGAGGGCGGCGAGGCCAGAGTCCTCTCTGCAACACAACATAGTAATTCCGCTCCTCTCTCCTCCTGAGCTGAGGGGAAGGCGAGGCCAGCCCAGAACCCTGTCTACATTCACAACAGAGCCCTCCAGCTTCACAACACAATACAGCCCTGTGAATACTGTGAACACAGTCAGGCTGCTAGCCTAACCTAACTCCACTGTTGCTGCTGTTACCCAGGCAGGAAAAGACTGAAGTTCAGTTCTACAGACAGAGAGAGGCAGGCTGTGATTGGCTTGGCAACAAAGAGTTGAGTAAACAAGGCGTGCTTAATGGCCGGCCTGGGAGGAGGAAGAGTCAACAACATGGTGGATAGGATGATAGGAGGGCCGGCCTGGGAGGAGGAGTCAACAACATGGTGGATTGGAGGATAGGAGGGCCGGCCTGGGAGGAGGAGGAGTCAACAACATGGTTGATAGGAGGGCCGGCCTGGGAGGAGGAGGAGTCAACAACATGGTGGATAGGAGGGCCGGCCTGGGAGGAGGAGGAGTCAACAACATGGTGGATAGGAGGATAGGAGGGCCGGCCTGGGAGGAGGAGGAGTCAACAACATGGCGGATAGGAGGATAGGAGGGCCGGCCTGAGAGGAGGAGGAGTCAACAACATGGTGGATAGGAGGATAGGAGGGCCGGCCTGGGAGGAGGAGTCAACAACATGGTTGATAGGAGGGCCGGCCTGGGAGGAGGAGGAGTCAACAACATGGTGGATAGGAGTATAGGAGGGCCGGCCTGGGAGGAGGAGGAGTCAACAACATGGTGGATAGGAGGATAGGAGGGCCAGTCTGGGAGGAGGAGGAGTCAACAACATGGTGGATAGGAGGATAGGAGGGCCGACCTGGGAGGAGGAGTCAACAACATGGTGGATCGGAGGATAGGAGGGCCGGCCTGGAAGGAGGAGTCAACAACATGGTGGATAGGATGATAGGAGGAGGAGTCAACAACATGGTGGATCGGAGGATAGGAGGGCCGGCCTGGGAGGAGGAGGAGTCAACAACATGGTTGATAGGATGATAGGAGGGCTGGCCTGGGAGGAGGAGGAGTCAACAACATGGTGGATTGGATGATAGGAGGGCCGGGAGGAGTAGGAGGAGTCACCAACATGGTGGATAGGAGGATAGGAGGGCCGGCCTGGGAAGAGGAGTCAACAACACACAAACCTGTTGTGACAGTGAGGAAAGTTTGTCAATTATATTGACAAGATAGTCAAGTGACCGCTCTAATGATGGAAATACGTCTTCAAAGATGGAAGGCAGGCGGGAGGAGACGAGATCAGGTGGGACCATTCTAGCCAATTAGAGGGCAGATACGCATGTGAACAATAGGGTTATAGAGATAGATAGAGGACTCATCTTTGTTTCTGTGCCATTATAGCGTCTGTGACAGTATTGGCAGCGCCATTGAGGCTATCTCCATTTTAAAGTAGTCAGTTTTCTTCTTCTTCATTGGCTGATTGCTCCCAACTCATAGGAATCCCCACCCAGTTGACTACTTTAAAATGACAACGTAAATGCTAAAACAGGTTATATCCATGATGAGTCCTCTATCTATCTCTATGACAACAGGCACAACGCTGATATAAAGTCATTTGACAAAATGCCGCGTGCGTCCACTTATATGAGTGCATTCATTCGTATCAACCTAACCATTACGAAACTTTAACCCTTTACACCACAGGCCAACAAAATGAGGACATAGGACCAAAACATGAAGGTTTGCCAAAAAGTGGACACAGGAAGTGGATTTTTTCAGTCAGCTGATTTCTTTCTAAGAAATGAATGATAGGAATTTGGTTTGCTTGTCCTTGTCCAATTGTCCCTGTCAATATTATTCACTCACTAATTCGTACTTCCAATCCAAGAGCATACTGCTTTGACACAGTGAATTCTTCTAACTGGTCGTGGGCGGCATGCAGGCATCACAATGTCATTGCAGCTAAAGAATAAGTGGTTGATACTGTATCTAGCTTTGCTCTGTGGTGTGTCAAAGTGACCGATAGTGATAATGAGAGAGCACAGAGTAGTCAACCAGTCAGTAGTCAGTCAGTCAGTAGTCAACCAGTCAGTAGTCAGCCAGGCAGTAGTCAGCCTGGAAGTAGTCAGCCAGGCAGTAGTCAGCCAGGAAGTAGTCAACCAGTCAGTAGTCAGTCAGTCAGTAGTCAACCAGTCAGCCAGTCAGTAGTCAGCCCAGTAGTCAGCCAGGCAGTAGTCAGCCAGGCAGTAGTCAGCCAGTCAGTAGTCAGCCAGTCAGCCAGGCAGTAGTCAGACAGGCAGTAGTCAGACAGGCAGTAGTCAGACAGGCAGCAGTCAGCCAGTCAGTAGTCAGCAGTCAGACTGTCAGCAGTCAGAGAGTCAGTAGTCAGCCAGTCAGCAGTCAGCCAGGCAGTAGTCAGACTGTCAGCAGTCAGAGAGTCAGTAGTCAGCAGTCAACCAGTCAGCCAGGCAGTAGTCAGCCAGGCAGTAGTCAGCCAGTCAGCAGTCAACCAAATCAAATCAAGTTTTATTTGCCACATGCGCCGAATACAACAGGTGTAGACATTACAGTGCAATGCTTACTTACAAGCCCTTAACCAACAAAGAAAAAGTCTTATAAAAAAGTGTTAAGTAAAAAAATACAAGCAAATAACTAAAGAGCAGCAGTAAAATAAAATAACAGTAGGGAGGTTATATACAGGGGGGTACCGGTACAGAGTCAATTTGCGGGGGCACCAGCTAGTCGAGGTAATTAAGGTAATATGTACATGTGGGTAGAGTTAAAGTGACTATGCATAAATAATAAACAGAGTAGCAGCAGCGTAAAAGAGGGGGATGAGGTGGGGTGGGGGGGCAGTGCAAATAGCCCAGGTAGCCATGATTAGCTGTTCAGGAGTCTTATGGCTTGGGGGTAGAAGCTGTTGAGAAGCCTTTTGAACCTAGACTTGGCGCTCCGGTCCCGCTTGCGGTGCGGTAGCAGAGAGAACAGTCTATGACTAGGGTGGCTGGAGTCTTTGACAATTTTTAGGGCCTTCCTCTGACACCGCCTGGTATAGAGGTCCTGGATGGCAGGAAGCCAGAGGTTGTTATCCTGGCACCACACGGCCAGGTCTCTGACCTCCTCCCTATAGGCTGTCTCATCGTTGTCGGTGATCAGGCCTACCACTGTTGTGTCGTCGGCAAACTTAATGATGGTGTTGGAGTCGTGCCTGGACATGCAGTCATGGGTGAACAGGGAGTACAGGAGGGGACTGAGCACGCACCCCTGAGGGGCCCCCGTGTTGAGGATCAGCGTGGCAGATGTGTTGTTACCTACCCTTACCACCTGGGGGCGGCCCGTCAGGAAGTCCAGGATCCAGTTGCAGAGGGAGGTGTTTAGTCCCAGGGTCCTTAGCATAGTGATGAGCTTTTAGGGCACTATGGTGTTGAATGCTGAGCTGTAGTCAATGAATAGCATTCTCACGTAGGTGTTCCTCTTGTCCAGGTGGGAAAGGGCAGTGTGGAGTGCAAT